AGTTGCGGGCGTCGCAGGCGAGAGCCCAGAAATGGAGATGAGGCAGAGAAAACTAAGGTGAGAATCCCACGTCAAGCCTTACCCCTAATTTGAGGGTGGGTACTTGTCCTTACAGCACAAGAGATCGAAGTTGAACTGACAGACCCCAAGACTCTTGGACAAAGCCATAAATGGAATCAGTTCTTTGCTGCGACCCACCTTACCCTGCCAGACCTTACCTTTCTCAAACACAGCCAGCTGCATCTTCCGGTGAAGCCTCACTGAACCAGTGCTGTTCACTACTCAAGTATAGTTTACTCTGGGATCTGAATAAGAGCTCCTTTTCCGTAGGGTGAATGATAAATTGAAGAAAGTAAGAAGGAAATTGGACTCTGGGCCAGTTGGGAAGCTGAATTTGAAAGTTACGAAGTAGTCGGACAAGTAGCTTAGGGAAGTACACGTGTATGAGTATGAATTTTAATATCTCAAACAAAATTAAGGACTTTGCAACCAGTGTTTCTCATTTCCTATCCATCCCCACGTCCCTTAAACTCACTCTACGCCTAGTGGACTTGCAAAACTGTGTTGAACTGTCATGGCTGTGATCAAAGAACACTAGTAATACTAAAATAGAAAAAGAGTCTTTAAATGTGCAGTATACAGAAACACATGATTCTTCCCTAAGCAACAGAAGGTATTGCTTTTCTTTTTTGTTGTTGTTTTGTTTGTTTGTATTATTTTGTGTGTGTGTACCATCAAATCAGATCTGACTGGTACAGGAGGAGACTGCCCCTCCTCCAGCAGAGCATCTGGTGGATTCAAACGGCATACCTCTGGGATTGCAGTGCAGCTTCTTGCCACTAGGCCACAAGAACTCCCTGATACTGCTTTTCTTCATTTTTCCCCCTTCCAAGAACTAAGTCAGTCTGCTTACTCTGCCTCCTCTTTTATCCTCATTAATCCCTGGTCCATGAACTCACCAGCTCAAACTTCCTATCCCAGTCATTTTACTCTTTTAACTTAGAGAATAACACAAGTGGTAAGTCAGTTGTTGTTATGTGGCATCGAGTCGCTTGTGACTCATAGCAACCCTATGTACAATAGCCCTAAACTCTGCTCTGTCCTGTGCCAATCTCACTGTCTCCGACATACTCATCCCAATTACCCCAGTCACTGAATCAATCCACCTCAGGGCTAGTAGGGCCCTATTTTAGGATGACAGGGTATAGATAGGTGAATGACAAGGAGCCTGGTTATAAAGAACAATCTCTCTTTCCTGTGCTATTTCTGTTAAGGGCCTTTGCCCTGCTCAACCCTGTAATTTTAAAAGCTCTACAAGACTCCTTAGTAATATTACAGGTTCCTGAGGTTAGCCCAGTGATATATCCATATGGATGTTGCACTATAAATTTCTTTTCCTAGATTTTTGTAGTAGCACCTCACAAGGTCATGCTTCCACAAACTGACCACCAATAATATACTTTACAAGCCCCTTTTTCCAAGTTTCCACAACTGACATGTTTTCTAACACTCTGATAAGATATGAAACCTGTCAGTGTACCTACTCAAGACTTCAGATCCTCAAAACAACTATGAGATATCATCTCACCCCAGTCAGAATAGCAAAATAGAACAGTAAGCAACAAATTCTGATGAGGTTGTGGAGAAACTGGAACCCTTATTCACTGTTGGTGGAAGTGTAAAATGGTGCAACCACTGTGGAAGGCAGTGTGGCGCTTTCTCAAAAAGTTGCAAATATAGGTACCGTTTGACCCAGCAATTCCACTACTGCGAATATACCCCAAAGAGACCATAACTACCACCCAAGCAGATATATGCACACCCATATTTATCGCGGCTTTGTTCACAATAGCAAGGAGTTGGAAACAACCTAAGTGTCCAACAAACGAACAGATTGAGAAGCTGTGTTATATTCACAAATGGAGTACTACGCTGCATTGAAAAACAAGGACTCATGCAATATTATTCAAAATGGGTGACCCTGGAGGATGTTATGTTGAGTGAAATACCTCCATCACAAAAGGACAAATACTGCATAGTGCCACTGTTGTAAAACAAGACTGACATCGGGGTTAGGGGGAAACTGAGAAAGATAGGTTCAATAATGTATACTGCATTGAAACAGATGAGAGAGAAAACTGTTTAAAAGGGATATGTGTTTAGGTATTATTGTCATGACAGGAGTCCAGAACTAAGGCTGCATAGGGTGGACCTGAGGAGAGGGATTGTAAAACAATGAAAGATTTTTTTTTTTTACTTTTCAAAGAGAAGAGTGTACTGGGAAGGAGGGGTAGGCAGGGAGAAAAGTGCAACAATGAATGAAAATCCAAAGCCTCTGTAAATTTTCAGTAAAATTAATAATTTTTAAAAAGGTAAAAAAAAAAACAAAACACTTCAGATCCTCTAGTTTGGGTCCCAGGTATGACAGAAGGACACAAATGGTGACATCCTAATATGGTGCAAAGTACCACAATACTAGAGTCAGAACGGAGGGAATAGAAGAATCTCCAAGCTTTTCTCTTTCACCCCTTTGGAGTCTAGAAAGGAAAGGCTCTGTTGTAGCACCAGTAAAAGTGTCACTCAAAGCAGAAAGGAGTACACATAAAGTCAATGCCACCTACCTGGCATTTAGCCAGTCACTCACTTTTCAGCTTCCTACCTACTTGTTGCTGGCTAAAGACAGAAGAGCTCATCCAGAGCTAAAGACAAAAAAAATCTTGACTTACAGTTCCTCAGGCTTCCTCCCTCCCTCTGCTCCCACTGGAACTGAAATTGCAGTCACCACTCTGTGGGTTGCACACACCCACCCTCGTCACTGACCCCAGGCCTGGGCCTGAGCCCAGTGCGTGTGCCGGGAGCAGGGGGGGGGGGGGGTTGGCCTTGCTGACAAAATCCATTTGGAATTTCTCAAGGTTGTGGTTTGGGGTTTAAGTTTGCCACAGAGTGTGTCTGATGAAAGAAGAGGGAAAGCTAGAAACAGAGCAAGAATTGAAGGAAATACAGAAGAAGGAAATAAGAAAAAGCTGAAATATACTTGCTAGGACTCCACTGGAGATTCTCCTCACTTTTCTGGAGTGGGCAAAATCCTTTCTGGTTAGACTTTGTCAATATTCTCTCTCAAACCCTATATCCACTCTATACAAATGCCTGAACTGAGGATGAGATATCTTCCTGCCTACATTAAATTTCCAAACCCAGAATTCCCCACACTCAAGTGGTAATCCAAATATAAAGGATTGCCTTAACCTAGTACTCCTCAAATGTTCCCTCATACTGTGTTATACCTCATCCTTCCGTGTAATCTCAAAGATTATTCAGATAGCAAATACAGTTATTATTTGGATAAGAGAAGAGAACCATTTATACCTTCTCTGGCCAAGAAGATGACCTATTGAGTTCTGCCTCTGGGAGCCTCATAAATAAGAATCATGTACAGTGTTCTAAATGTACTAAGTGTATCTTTTTTTCTGCAATGAAGATAATTTCTTCTCAAAGATATAAACAGCTAGGAATAAAGAGAAATTTTTTAAAATCTTGGGAGGTCTGGTGGCTGAGTGGCAAGAAGCTGCACTGCAATCCCAGAGGCATGTGGTTCAAATCCACCAGATGCTCTGCTAGAGAAGGAAGGGCAATATCTTCCTGTAACAGTCAGATTCGATTTAACAGTACACATACAAAATAAAATTTAAATAAAATAAAGTTCTGGGCAAGCTCTGGTGGCCTAGTGGCAAGAAGTTGCACTGCAATCCCAGAAGTGCGCAGTTAGAATCCACCAGATGCTCTGCTGAAGAAGGAGAGACAATCTACTCCTGTACCAGTCAGATCTGACGGTACACACATAAACAAAAAAGTTAATAATAATAAAATTCTATTCTTTGTAGTTATGTTTTCTTTTTTGCAAATAAGTTCAAATAAACTTTATGCAGAAAAGTCCTTAATAAGGGAGTAGAAAACACATAGGCAAATAATTCAGTGGGAAAGTATACTGGTTTCTGGGGTAGGAGAGGGGGAAATCTTGTCTTAACTATAGAAAGCCCCTTTCTTTGTTTCCCATTATTCTTATATCTACCTCCCAAGTTCTCTGGTTTGGAACCAGAGGGAGAAAGCATCCACTCTTTTGAGTCCAGGTTCAACACTGAAATACATTCAAGACTTGAAAACTCCAAACAGAGGTGATGTTGGGATCTAGAACAGAGGTCCAAATCTATTTCTGCAGCCTTATTTTTTGTGAATTAAGTTTGTTTAGACACGGCTGTGCCCATTCATTTATGTCTGTTTTTCACCCTATAGCCTCAAATATTATCTAGTCATTTACAGAAAGAAAGAATAATTTAAAAAAAATGATCCTTTTTCTAGGGCAGTGACAGGTGAACTTTAGAAGAGGCATAGAGTAAACAGGACCTAGATTTCAGTGTCTGGCACCTGCACCTAGAAGTCTTCCTGATGATTTTCCACAGTAAAAGTTGCCAACCAAGTCACAGAAGACCATTTGAAATCCTTTATAGGAGATATATATATAATTATTTCCTTTAGAAGAGTTCACTTGGAAAAGAATGCCTGGACTGAAAAGCGAAATGTGGGTAGAAATATCACCATCTGCATCCAGTGGTCCAGCAATTTAATTTATTTTCGTTACAAACAGGAACCAAGAACAATTCTCAGCACAATAAATTATCCATTCCCACCCCTCCTGCTAAAGAAGGGAAAAGGCTCAGAGTTTTAAGGTAAAATCCTTCCTTTAGAGGATCCCTCTTTAACATTTGAATGGAGACAGCTTCACTAAGTTCTGGACTGACAACTCTCTGAGGACTCCAAAAGAGCACTTCTTAGCATTCTGTCTGTCCCTCTACCAACAAAAACCTGTACTGCTGTCTCCTGTGACCCCACAAGAGGGGGCCAAGGCTGCAGTAGAGGGAACTGCAAGTAGGAGTAGTTGATCTCTTTCTGAATACAAATCTTAGGGCATCACACAATGTCTGAGATTATTCCTCCAAGAAGAAGAGTAATTAAATTACAGGTACTCCCCAGTCAAAAGGAATATGAACCAGGGTTAAAGGGGTCCTGGAGTTTGGAGGCAGTACAGTGCATTTACTCTTAGTCCGTTCAGGTATTTAAGAGCATAAGAGAAGTGACAGCTTCCAGGTCCTCCAGCTATGGGAGAGAAGCCTGCACATCACAGACTCTGCCTGGCCCTCACCATCCCCAAAACTATCTTCGGGGAGATACCAAGGCCAAGATTGACCCTGTACAGAAATCAGAGCAAAAGGCTGAGATGGTGTCCCTTCCACACACTTCCTGTTTCCAGTTCAATGGGGAAACAGATCCTCACTTGCACACATTGACCCACTCTGTGACCTTGCACTCATCACACAGCACATAACAACACCAGTGGAAACGGCAGTGGCAACGTTCAACTCGTGTCTGTCTCAGCACATTGTGCCCACGGCCACAGCACAGGCTGCCACAGCCATCCAGTAGGCGGCTGGTCTTGTTGCAGGCCCGGCCTCGTGTGCCTGGGGAGCCTACTGTGGGGTCTCGTTCACAGAAGTCTGGAGACTTTTCAAAGTAGACTAGCTCTCCTGAAAGACGACGAGGACGCAGTCTGGGTTGGAAGGCTCCTGAGTTGCGGTTATGGGTGTCGATGAAAATGGCCCGACCTAGCCGCTCCCTCAGCGCTGCCCCCACTGCCCGGAACTCTGGGGCAGCCCTCCAGCAGGTCTTAAACTGGCAGCTGCCTGAAGTGCCATGGCACTTGCATTTCCGCTTCAGATTTTCAGTTACCACCTAGAGCAGCAGAGGGGCAGAGGTAGATGGGAGGGCAGCACATGGAAAGAGCACAGAGGAAAACAAATGGAGATAAACATAACCATAAAGAGCACTTAGAGGCTAGCTAATAGCCCAGCTCCTTATTTTATGCTGGGAAAACGAAAGCAAGGCCAGTGTGACCTGCTCATCTTCAGTCACTAGGGGTAGCCCTCAATCCCTGTCATCCTGACTCTCACTGCCAGGCAGGTGGTGGCTGCACATGAGGTACATTTGCTAGGACTCAAACCTGGGCCTCCTGTATGGAAAATGAGCATCCTACCGCTGAACCACCACTGCTCCCTTCTTACTTGCTAGCTCAGTCTTAGAGATATTTTAAGGTAGCTGTCATTAGGCTCTTGTACAGATACAAAACTGAGGTTAAGTGACCTGCTTGAGGCCACTCAGCTGGTGAGTGGCATCACCCTCCACACCTCACCTTACTACTCTGCTGAGCCTCTCAAACTCTAGCAAGGCCTCAAAAGATAGGGATACACATACCTGGCGTCCCACTCTGTTGTTGTGGATCTGCATTCGTGCCTGGATGTCCCGAGGGGCTTCCCTGGAATCCAGGAAATCCCTAGAGAATTTCTCTCCAAAGTCCATGTCATGGTTACAGCCACCCCATTCCCAAGTATCTTGGGGGCCAGGGCTGGAGCCTGAGCCAGGTCCAGGGTTAGGCAGAGAGTGAGGGAAGCTCTTGCCTCGGGACAATGCTTGCAGCTGCAGTAGTTTGGCCCTCAGCCGATCCTGTTCACCACTGCCCTTCCAGCCGCAGCCGCAGCTCACCAGCTTGCCCAGGCTGCAGGCTGTGGCTACGGCATGCATGACACCTGCAGCCAGCATGGAGAAAGAAAAAGCACTCTCACGGAAACCTGGAGAGAAGGGTGTAACGGCAGATGTAAGATTGACAGGCAATTGGGAAGGACGGGAAAATAAACAATTTACCAGCTGAGTAGTTTGGGAGAAATCAGAAAGGGAAGGGTGCAAAGTGTAGAGCATTAGTTTCCTTGTTTATAAAGGAAAAGGATGGATCAAGATGACCTCTGAGGCTCATTCTACTAGTCTTCTGATTTTCAGATATGAATGCAAGAACGACCCAGAGGGATAACCCCTAGGTCAAGAGAGAACTAAGGAGGACTTCCTGAATTCTGTACCCCAAAATGAGAAAATTTCCAACCCTGCAGGGAACTTGGGTGCTGTTAGAGCCTTTGGGACTCTTATTTGGCTTCCAGATCATTTTAATCAAACTTTTAACCTGACCTACCTTAGCAACCCTAATAGCACCGGAGCTGCCCTTCCCAGGTTCTACTTCTACATTTGTCCTTCAAGACTGCCCTTTATGTTTATCCTAACCTACTATTACCCTATAAACACTGGGAGGAGGTAGAGATGGGGGTGATTTTCCCCCTGAGATCCTCTTAAAAATTTGGCTTTTTTGTCATGAATTGGGGGTCAAAGAAGCTCAAGATGACAAGACTTTCCCAGACTTACATAAACTGGCCCTGAATTGGGAAGCCAAACCCTTCCTAACCCATCAGGAGAAAGACTGTGGACAAAGAGAGGGTCTCTCATTTCCTTTAAGGCACAAAATCTCTGAAGCCCTGGGAAGATTTGAGATAGCACCTCCTTAGGGCCCAGGCCTCTCCCACCCCAGGATGCAGGGCTCCTGGCCCAGCCTCCATATCCCCCCAACCCCAACCCTCCAGGGGTGAAGCTGTTTGCACACGTCTTGGGAATTCCCCTGCAGATGGCAGCTGCCTATTAACCCCATAGTCCCCAAAGCAATGCCCCCACCCCTGTGCAAACCTGGAGCCCCATGGATCTTTACATCTTCAAGAAGTAAGCTCTGGCAGGACCTGAGGAGAGACAGCATGCCTCCCAGACCAGGCCAGCAGTGACCTGTTCTCTCGCCCCTCCAACTGCTTTTCACCTGCTCAGGTGAGCATCACCTGGGGCCTCCACAGTACTGAGGAGGGGGCTGCTCCCTGGCTTCAAAGCCATCAGGGTCTTTGTTCCCAGCTTCTGGCTCTTGGGAACCCCAGCAATTAGGGGAGCAAGTTTAACTCTTAAACAGCTGGGGGCGTCTCCCCACCTCCGCTGAGGCTCTGGGGACACCAGCCTGGGCTTGTCTCCAAGAGAGGCAAGGGGGGGAACAGAAGAAGGAATGGGGGGGCGTTTGAAGCTTCCAGGGCTGGGGGCATCTCTTACACGCAGGTGCAACCCAGGTCGAGCTAGGTGGAGGTAGAAAGGAGAGTGGGCCCTGGGGTAGGAGAGCTAGACCCAGCTGCCTTGCCAACAGCGCACAGGTGGAAGTCAGGAGCTCCGGGGCCCAGACGGGTGGCCAGACCCGGCTCCGCGCGGCTCTGGGGGGGGGGGGGAATTCCCAGGAGAGGCCCTCCAAGAGGCACGAACCGGTCCCTTCCCGCCTCCGCCCGCCTCTGCCTGCCCCTCGCCCCAGCCCCAGCAATGGCACAGACCCGCCCAGGCCTAGGCCCTCTCACCGCGCTTGAGGATGGCGCTGTGGTGCGGCAGGCGACCGCCGCCCTCGAGAGCCGAACAGTTCCAGCGCTGGTCGCGCAGCTGGTGCTGACACTCGTGGACAGCGATGTGCAGCCCCTGCAGCGCAGACGCCGTCACGTCGGGGCTGCGCAGGCACAGGCCCAGCTGTCTCTTGCTCAAGCCCGACAGCGTCAAGCACACGGTGTTGGCCGTCAGTGGTGGCTCCCCAGGCAGCTTCAGGCCCAGAATCTCATTGCTGAGGGCCCTGGGGACAAAGAACGGCTTGGAGTCTGTGCCCGCTCCGACACTCCCTCACCCAGGGCCCCCGGTTTCTCCAATGGGCTGGGAGACAGGGGTTACTGCTCACCGACTGCACAGTGCAAGGAACAGGAGGCCCACGAAGCCCGAGGGCGGAGGCCGCGGCCGGGGCTCCTCCAGCATGTCGAAGCCCGGCCCGGAGGCCTCGGTGAGCCAATCGGTCGGGCCTGCGGGACAGGACGCCTTGAGGTGGCTTCAGATCCGGGTGGCCCTCCAGGACAGTCGAAAGATGCCCTATTTCAGGTCTCTAACCCACCACATTGATTCTTCTCACCCTTCCCCAAACCTAAGGAACCACAGCAAGAATCACCTTCGACGTTCAGAATCCGTGGCTTGTAGAGACTGAAAAGAGAGTAACGGCCTCACAGCTCCGAACTCGCTCACGCGAGCGCCCCTGGCACCGGTCAGGGGCAAACACAATGCGGGGCGCACAGACACACGCACACTAGACACAGGCGCTCAACACCGCGCAGTCACCTCTCTCACAACTCCCTTCCCGAGGGCCCCACGATCGCTTCCCCCGCCCAAGCCAGTTTCACGCCCCCACAGTGCTGGGGGCGGGGTCACAGGGGGTTCCCCACCACCTACCTAACTCAGGGGGAGGGGTGTCGCTTCCAGGTGCCGTCGAGGGCGGGTGGGCTCTCAAAGCTGGGCGTGGGAATTATCTCCCCAACCCACTCTCCAATCTCCTCCCAGACAGAAGGGAGGAGAGATGAGGCAAAGGGGGGGACCGGGACACAGTTCTCGCCTCAAATAGACCGTGGTGCACACTAAGTCCACTTCCAGGCCGCCCCTCCCGCTTCCTAACTGCATCCTCCCCTTCTCTGCACGCCGCCCGTCTAGTCCCCAAGGGTTCCAGCCTCTGTCCCCACCCTTTACTTTTGCGTTCATTGCCCTTCCAAATCTGGGGCTACTCCTTCATTCGCTCTGCGTCCCTGCGCCCCTGTGGATGGATGCCTGTTTGCCCGCGTGCCTGTCTCGTCCCGAGTGCACGGCCCTGCCCTCCCTGCTTTCCTGGTTCCACAGTACCTCCAGCGGTTGCGGTGTGGGATCCACGTCCGGCGCAGTTGGGTCGGCTCGGGCTGCTCAAAGCGTGGCGAGGCTGCGTCGGGTTCTGCCCCCTCGGCAGAGCCGCATTCTTCCCGGGCAGGGCCACTCCTCTTCGCCGCTTCCCAAGCGCTCAGGCGGCAGCAGCGAGGAAGGGAGGGAGGATAGGAGGGAGCGATCGAGACTGCTAGCGAAGGGACGAGCAAAGAACTGGGGGCTCTGGCTCCGATCGCACGGAGTTCACCCGTGGCTCCGCCGGGACTGACGAGCTGCGGTCCCTCCCCAAGCCCAGGGCATCCCCACTCCACCCCCTGCACCCCCGCCCTGACCGGCGAACGCAACCGCTCCCCTCCTCCCAGCGCGCGCGCGCGCACACACACACACACACACACACACACACACACACACACCCTCTCCCCTGACGCCCTGCTTGGGCTCGGCCCTTTTGAAAGGAGAGGTGACTGGAACGTTCCTCACCTGCTCTGGGGTCGCCAAGGCAGCAGGGAGCTTGCAGCTACCCGGGCTAGCGAGCGGGGATACCTAGCCCATGAAGCCAAATCTTCCATCATGTCTCTTTGCCTCGGTTTCACCACCAAGAAAAGACAGCTGGAGGGCGCCTTCGGCAAGATGAGGACTGAGCTGAGAACCAACTTCAGGCTGTAGGCAGTTCCCAGTGAAGTCCACAGCCTGAGTGCACCCGGGGCACTCGGAGCCCGCAAGGAGAGGCGCGTCCGGACTGTTGGGCTCCCGCCCACCTCTGAGCCTGCGCCTGCCCCTTGGGAGGGGTCAACCTTGACCTGAGTTTGGCCTTCGCAGAGGCTCCAGTTGCCCCAAAGGTCTTACAGCTTCCCTCAGCTTGCAAGCATTCTTACCCTCTGAAGTCACAGGGTCTCCCCGCTTCAGGTGGCCTGGCTTCCTGCTCTAGACATAAAGACTTGCTTCGCAGGAGCAAAGGAGGCTTTGGAATTCCAAATTGTGTCCAGCGAGGACAGCCGGGAAAGAGCCTGCTTTCAGGCGCACAGATGGAAGCGAACGGCAGCGAAGGGGTTATGCACCACCGCGCTACGGCCTGACTCACGCTAGTAGCTCTAACCACTTCGGGCTATTTTTGCCAGAGAGGGGCCTCAGGCTTCTCAGCCGCCCCCCACCCCCTCGACGCCCTTACCAGACCGCAGCCCACGGCATGGCTGGCCCCGCGCACCAGAGACTGGCGCGTTGACTCAGAGACCAGCGCCTGGGCAAGCAGAGCCACGCGGCTGGTACACCCACAGCCAGTCAGCCCTTCCTCGGCGGTGGCCTGGCAACTCTGCTGGGTAGCCTGCATCAGCCTCTAGCGTGTGCTGCTCCACATCCTCCCACACGCTGCCCGCTGAGCGGCAGTCCAGGGGCCAAAACAGTCCTCCAAGGACAGTTCCTGCGCTGGACTCCGAGCGGACTGGGGAAGGGAAAGTCCTGTAATCTCTGACCTTGGACTGCAGGGACCACAGGTGGTGGTGTGGTGGGAGGAGCTTGCTTTTCTCTGCTTCCCCACCTTCAGGAACCCTAGAACTCTTGCCCTGCCTCCCCTTTTAGGGGCCAAACCCTGTGTGACTTGTGACGCCATCAGAGTCTGTAAGCCCATCTAGGTAGCTTTCATCCTTATACCTAGAACCGGTGACCCACTCACCGCCCCCGGCCCCCCCCCCATGACTTTGTTCTCATCCTTCCTGCACTTCAGCCTGAAATTCCACTCAGTCTGGGGTGGAAATAAGAATGGGGTTTCCTAGGTCCCCTGTCTCCATGGGAACTTTGTGGACATTGGTCTTTCTCCATGTGTCTCTGAGTGTCACTCAGGTGTCATATTGCTTTTTGCCTTCTGATTCTACCTTTGTCAGGCTGCTGTAGAGAGAGTGGGGGCGACTAGAAGAGCCTGGGGTCAGAACTATGTGTCAACTTCTCTGTGATTCCTGGGCTTTCCAAGTGGGCTGGTTCCAAATCCAAGACCTCATGTTCCTGTTCCCTCTTTCCACTGGATCCCAACTCTGGTATAGACAGGCAGACTGGGTGGCCTGAACTAGCCCACAGTGCCCTCAGCTCGACTGACCAGCTGGCCTGAGTGCTGACCCACAGGCGGCTGGAGGGCGGTGGGGCAGGCGGGGCCTGGAGAGGGCTTGAGTGCACACCCATTGCCTAATACCCCAAGCACGCAGCCAGCTCCAGGAAAGGGGAGGGACGGGAACCAGGGAGACCTTGGGGCTCTGATATGAGGAGCAAAGTGGGGGGCTATCATGAATGAGGAGAGGGAGCCAGAATGAGAAAGTTCCTTTTTCATTCCAAGAGAGCCAAAGGCTGCTCTTTCCATCATGGGGATGGATGGTGTATGACAACAATCTGAGAAGAATATTGGGGCCCTGGAGGGCGGGGGTCAAACATAAGAGGGGCCCTGGAGATTGGGATATCGAGCAACTGAGGCGGTGGCTAAAGCCAGACACAGGCTCGGGAACCTCCTCTCACTCCTCCCCCTGTGTTTGCCTTGGCCCGGGGTCTCGGGTGACTCATCTACTGCTGAGCCGCTGATAGGGGTGGCCAGACCCAGGGAACCCAAATTATAGGCCCCGGAGGAATGGATGCGCCCACAGTGGTGAGCTCAGCTTTGCTGCCCACCCTCTGCATCTCACGCCTTCTGTTGCAACGCTGGAGGCCACCACCCAGCGGCACTAGAGTCCAAAGCTCAATTGCACTGGACTCTAAGGATGTCCCCCATTTTCAGCAATGACCCCAACAAATCGGTGGAATTACCCAGGACGGAATTTTGCTCGCTTCTCCACCATAGGCAGATGGGCCTGCTGTAGTAGGCGATGCCGCCTGCTGGTGTTTCAAGGGAAGACAGGCTACAATATCCTGTGCTTCCTATTCTTCAGGGCAAACCCGCCAGCCCTTTCACAGCTCTCTCCCATCCCCATTTCAGAAGGAGTGTTTGTTACTGATGTTCTCCTTCAAGTCTTTGATGTTATCAAGGTAAAAAGTGATAAAGATAAAAATAAATCGAGAATAGGGATCTGGTTGTTGTTAGATGTCTTCGAGTAGAGTATGACTCATAGCAACCCAATAAACAACCAATCTGAACATTTTCCTATCCCATACCATCCTCCCAGTCTCTGACATACTCAAGCTTATTGCTGCAGCCACCATGTCAATCTAGCTGGTTGAGGGTAGGATTCTATTTTATATAAGGGGGAAGTAGAAGAAAGTAATGGAGCAAATGCATGAAGATATCTGGGGAAGAACATCTCAGGAGACAAGGAAGTAGATGTAAAAATGCTCAGACAGCAACATATTTCTCTTTCTTTCTTGTGTTTAAGAAACTAGCAAGGGCACAAGTGTGACTGGGGAAAAGAGGTAAGCAATTAAGTTGGAAAGAGAGAAGTTGGGTCTGATCATAAGGGGCTTTGTAGGCCATGACAAAGAATTTTACTTTTGTTTTGAGTGAGATGGACATCCATCAAAGAGGTCTAAGCAAAGGAATGATATTATCTGACTTTTGTTTTAAAAAGACTGACTTTGGCTTCAGAGTAAATAGACAAATGTAGGAACAAGGAGAGCTATAAGGAGACTGTTGTGATTGAGGCAAGAAAACCAGAGCTGTGAGTGGTGAGAATATATGAATACCCTGCTTATATTTTGAAGATAGAGAGAGCATTTGCTGAGAGATTGGATTTGGAGAGTAACACATAATGAATGTAGGGAGATTTAAAAATTTTTGTTCTGAGGACATAAAAAAGATGGAATTGTATTTTACTGAGATGTAGTGACTACAGAAAGATGGAGAAATGATAGAAACTCTACCTACTGAATCTTACTTGGATCCACAATCAATATCATTGGTATTATTGGTACTAGCAGTCAGGCGATCAGGAGATGCATTGCACTGGAAAAGTCTGCACTCTGAGACCTCTCCAAATTATTGAGGAGCAATGATGTCAGTTTGAGGACTAATGTGTGCCTGATTCAGATCATGATCTTTTCAATCAGTTGCTATGCATCTGAGAACTGATAAACAAAGAAGTATGATAGAAGAATTGATGTGCCTTTGAGCTGTGGTGTTGGGAAAAAGTACACAAATTGCCAAAAGAATAAACAGATATGTCTTGGACAAGGTGCAGCCATTTTTGTCTACCTAGAGGCAAAGATGATAAAGCTTCGTCTTATATATGTTGGGCGTAATACTAGGAGAGGCTATTCCTTGGAGACAGACATCATGCTTAGAAAGGTAGAGGGTTTGAGAAAGAGAAGAAGACCCTCAGCCAGGTGGCTTGACACAGTGACTTTAGCAATGGGCCCAACTACATCAGAAATTGTGAGGATGGCACAAGATAGGATAGTTTGGATTTGTTGTTCATAGGGTCATTATAGGTCATACTTGACTCAATGGAACCTAACAACAACAATAACAACAGTGACTACAGAAGGAGTATGTTACAGGGAAGAGTCAAAAGTTCCTTTTTAAGGGGAGCTCTGGTGGCCTAGTGGCAAGAAGCTGTACTGCAATCCCAAAGGTATATGCTTTGAATCCACCAGATGCTCTGCCGGAGAAGGAGTGACAATTTCCTCCTGTACCAGTCAGATCTGATTTGACGGTACATGCACAAAAAATAATAAAATAAATTTTTTTAAAAAAAGAAAAAGTTCCTTTTTAAACATGCCAATTTTGAGATGGTTATCAAGTGTTAGATATGCACATACAGAGTTCAGGTTTGGAGATATAAATTACTGAAGGAGTGTGGAGACAGGGATTTCTAGAGTGAACCTGAGTGTCCCCCAGTGTTTACAAATTGGAGCTACAAGTAGGAGGAACCAGACAAGAAGGCTGAAGAGTTGAGCAGCCAGTGAGCAGGAACAGGATTTCAAAAAGCAAGTGAGAATGAGATGTATTTCAAGATGTTCAATTGTGTCTGTTGTTCAGAAAAGTTTATTAGGATAAGAATAGAGAATTGACTGTTGGCCCAGGTGGGTGACATGAGGTCATGGGTGATATTAATGAAGTATAGTGGATTTAAAGGCCTGATTTAGGCAGAAAGCACCTAATCTGATGCTATTAGTTAAAGCAACGAAGTTTACAACAAAGTAGGATAGGGGAATGGGACAATCTTGAATGACAATATGCAGGATCAAACAGAAGTTTGAGATGAGAAACATTTCCGTATGTTTGTATACTGGTGGGTTTGATCCAGTTGAGAGGTGAAGCAGGAAAGAAAGAGGTCAGCTGATAGCCTTGATTTGATCCAAACACAAATTTGGATCAGATCATACTACTGCCCAGCTCTTCCTCCTTCCCCCACTAAACCTGGTGGGTAGGACAATAAAGCAAAGAATATTGGCTCCTTTTTCTAGTTCTGTTTGTCTCCCGTGGTCATAGACAGGGGTTTCAGGTCAAAAGATTTAATCCAGACCCAGTGGGAGGAACCCCTAACCAATACCAGGCCTTCCATGGTACGTAATCTATTAACTTGATCATCTCTATTGGATGTTCTCTTCAGAGACTGCTGGTTTTGGGACCTGTGGAGGATGCTGGGTCAATACACCTTGACCTTCAGAAATGAATCCTTGTACAGGTGAGCTGGATGAAGAACCTGAGAAAGACATTTTCCTTAAACACAATAAAAACAACAGCAACATACAGCAGGCTTCATTTGGGTTAATAATTATGTCTTTTAAAAGCCAGGTGTCATGGAAGTCTCATTAAACTTATCAAGCATTTCACTCCTTAGAGTAATATTCCAGATGTAGTAGGGAAGCCTGTTCTTTTTGAACCTTGAAACTCATTCCATAGGGTTAGGTCAGAGTTAAAAAAAAAAACCAAAAACAAACAAACAAAAAAACCAACCACAAAACAATGGTGATGAAAGAAAAAAAATTAATAGAGTGAGGAAGACCCCTAAAGATAGTTTTAATCTGTCTGTTGATTTTGGGATGACTCATCTTGTTATTGCTGCATCTTATACAGCTGGAAAGATGGAACAAACACAGAATTTGAGTCTAGCTGCCCTAGACAATTGTCTAATCTATATTCTTTCCTTATAAGAACGGAGAGAGGAGAAATATTTCTGAGAACCCAGTTTTGTGACAGTAGAGTATGATAGCCCAGGCTGGTGGTGCCCCCTATGTTCCAGTTATGGAACAGCAGGCACTTTACTAGAAGGACAGGCGACTTAAAACTGAGTTGGGAGGGAAAACACCGCAAAAAAAACTGAGTTGAAGTACCTTGAGAAGGGAGAGAAAAAAATGTATAATGAGTGAGACAGTGCAAACACTGTAGGTATCCTAGTGCGGTGAGAATGAAGAGAGTCAGAATGGTGGAGAAAAGATGGACACTCAGTAACGGAGAAAAAGCCAAAGTGGCAGAAACATGGAGGAAAAGAGCCCTCTTCTGGTTTCAGTTCGGTTCAGGGCCTGTCTTTCAGGCCCTCCCAACAAACAGTGATATCTACCCCACCACCTTTCTTTTCTGAGTCTAGTTCTACTCAGGCCATGTTGTTGTTGTTGTTAAGTGCTGTCGAGTCATAGATGATTCATAGCGACCCTATGAACAAAAGATCTGAACGCTTGTATAACTTTCTGTGCTTCTCCAAATTTATAGGGTTTCCAGAGGCAAGTTATTTTGGAAGTGGATGTCACTCCTGCTTCCAAGCTTTTTTTAATTGGGGAGCTCCACCAAACACTGTCCACCATAGGTAACCATTATCTCGTTTGACACATCGGTGTCACAGTGTTCAGCATCACAACAACCATGAGTTACCTCTGTACAGCAAATGGACTCAGGCCAAAGTCTTTGCAATTACTTGCTATGCAGCAGAAAGCTGGACAATGACTAGGGATGATAGAAGGAGAATTGATGCCATTGACCTGTGGTGCTGCAGTAGAGTGTTGAATATACCATGGACTGCTAGGAAAACAAACAGCTTCATCCTGGAGGGGGTGAGACCAGGCTGCTCCTTGGAGGCAAGGATTCTGAAGCTTCCTCTGACATACTTTGGACATGTTGCAAGGAGGGACCAGTCCTTGGGGAGGGATATCATGCTTGGGAGGGTGGAGGGACAGTGCAGGAGAGGAAGACCCTCGATGGGATGGACAGACTCAGTGACTGGGGTACAGGTGTGTCAGAGACAATAAGATTTGCACAGGGTAGAGCAGGGTTTGGGGATGTTGTGAATAGGATTGCTGTGAGTCGCAGGTAATTCCATGACACATTACAAGTTCTATTCAGCCACTGTAGGTCTTGATCCCCTTGTTATAACATTAGCTGCAAACTAAGCCTACTCTCCAGTCACATGCACAGGTTGACACACACTAGTGGGTGACACATCATAGGATGATGAAAGGTACACAAGGTAAAATAGTGACATGTACATGCATAATCTCCCCAAGCACACACTCATCCATCCACCCACCTCCACACACAAACAGCTCTGCAGCCTGCAGTCAGCCTCTCCTGCTTCCAGTCACCACCTTCCTTCCGGACACACAGGGGCTAAACTGTCCCCAGTAGGGCTGTGAGGAGGTGATAGGATGATTCCTTCTGGTCTGAGCTAAATATAAAGATGCTTTATAAAGAGTTCCCAACATCTCTCCTCAATATGGAGTTTCTGCATAGAGTGGATGCATAAGAGCACACACCCTCAGAACACAGTCATGCATTTACATTTATATTGTTATGTTGCACGCACTCGAGCGTGCGCACACACACACACACAGAACCACTTGTACTCTTTCCCACCCACGTGCACAAACTGCCGCTGTCTCGCTGCCTCGGGTTTCTTTCCACCGTCTCAGGCTCAGTTTGGTCAACTCACCCCTAACCCATTCCGGGGATTTCCCTGACCACAGCCCCACCCCATCCCACTCCCAGTCTCCCCCTTTTCCTTCCCAGTCCAGCCGTCGGGGCTCCTGGGCGGGGAGGCATCTCCCCAGAGTTGCTGCCCAAAACCGCACCTTCCTTCCGCCACTCAGGATAAGGGAGAGAAGGGACGCCGCTGGCTGGCCCCAGGGTGACGTCGAGGGGACAGCCCTACCACCAAATACGGGGAGCCTGGCCTGGCGGGCTCTCTCCGCAGCACATTCCCGCCGCGCCCCCTGGCGGACAATGGTCCCCGACGGACTCCGGACGCGAGGTGAAGTGAGGCAGGCGCGCGTGGGAGGGCGTCCCAAGGGGAGGGGTCGACAGCCTGTGCAGGCCCGGAGGCCCCGGCCACCAGGCAGGGGGCGGGGGTGAGCCCCGACGGCCAGCCGGCCAGCTCTTGGCTCAGACAGGTGGGAGCCACGGCCCTGCTCGCCGCTGCCCATTGTCTGCGCCCCTGACCGGTGCGTCCTGGTGCCACAGCGCGGCCCAGCGGGGCAGCCTCCTCCCGACGCTGCAGCCAGCGCCGCAACTATAAGAGGCGGTGCCGCCCGCCGTGGCTGCCTCAGCCCACCAGCCAGGACCGCAAGCCATGCTGTCCGCCGTCCGCCCCCGAGGCTGGTAGAGCCAGACTGCGAACTCTCGCCACTGCCGCCACCGCCGCGTCCCGAGCCACCGTCGCGGGCAGCAGTCAAAGCCGCCGCAACTGCAGCACAGAGCGGGCAAGGCCAGGCAGGCCATGGGGCGCTGGGCGCTACTGCCCAGCTGGGTTTCTGCTACGCTGCTGCTGGCTCTGGCCGCTCTGCCCGCAGCCCTGGCCGCCAACAGCAGTGGTCGATGGTGGTAAGTGAGCTGGCGCGGGGCCGCCACAGGTCCTGGGGCGCAGAGCCAGGAAGCAGGCTCTATCCAGCTCCCAAGCTCTAGGATCCATTCGCAGACAGGCTCCCTCCAGCGCTCAGACTTCTCTCCTTGACACCGAGAGTGTCCCCGAGCTGCCCCAGAGGCTTTAGTCCTGCCGAAGGTGGGGGCGAATGTTCCACCCGCGGTGGCCCGCTGTGGCCATGGTACCTTGGGCAGGGCGCCCATTCCCGGGTAGGGTAGGGTAGCTCATTCTGCTCTTACCCCAACTCCAGCCTTATGGTGGCAGCCATTCCACGAATTTCCCTGCCCAGGAAGCCAGAGCTAGGCATGCCCACTTGAAGCAAGAAGAGAAGAGTGGGACTCGCGCAGAGCTATTGCTTTGGGTGGGAGAGGAGGAATTCAGGACAGGACTTCTGCACCTAGGCTGCCCAGAAGCAGGCTCACAGAGCCAAGGTGGACATCTAGTCTTTGGACTCCCTACCTTCCACCTTCCAGTCCCACAGATACAGGGTACCAAGCAGATCTGGTACTGGGGCACGAAAAGTCCATATCTCATAAAGTTGCCATGGAGTAGAAGCGCATTCCTGGCAACCCATGTAAATCAGAAGGTGTGTGGGATTTTAAAAGCCCATATCCTTAGCTCTTCCAAACTAATGAGCCCAGGAGCGCGGAGTAATTACCTTATTTCTCATCTCCCACCGCTTTCTCTCTGCGCAAAGAGCCCCAGGAAGATATGGTGGGCACAGACTTTTTGTTTAGGGCGCAAGTCCCCCTCCTGATCTTGCGCTCCTATCCTCTGTTCCATCAGGGGCATCGTGAACGTGGCTTCCTCCACGAACCTGCTGACCGATTCCAAGAGTTTGCAGCTGGTGCTGGAGCCCAGCCTGCAGCTGTTGAGCCGCAAACAGCGGAGGCTGATCCGCCAGAACCCGGGGATCCTGCACAGCGTGAGCGGGGGGCTGCAGAGTGCCGTGCGCGAATGCAAGTGGCAGTTCCGGAACCGCCGCTGGAACTGTCCCACGGCTCCGGGGCCCCACCTCTTCGGCAAGATTGTCAACCGAGGTGGGTGCCCAGGAAGGCGATGCTTCCGGAACCAAGGGAAACGCGGGGTCACCCCCAGGGCATAGGTGGGCGAGTGCAGGGAAGATGTCCCCAGCGCCTGCAGGGTCACACAATCAACACGCTGAAAGTCTCTTGCCCAGTGCCAGCTCCAGGCCAGGTTCTCTCGCTTTCGGCACTGCCCCAGAGAAAGGAGGCTCCTTGTTCTGGACGCCTCTCTCTTCCAGCCTCCTTGGAAGGCGCTTGGGAAGCTGCTCTTTCAAGCTGTGTCTGCCTCCAGCCCAGAGACCAGATGGGCCAAACTCTGGGCTGCCGAAGGTTTTTTTACTTTGCTCCCTAGGGTTGCTCCACTCCAGATCTGGAGCCAAAATGAGCACTGGACCCAGTAAGGCGTGCTTATGAGCGTGGACGCGGACGCGCACGCACATTTGTGTTCTCTCTATAGGACATAGAGACTAGTTTCCCGATCCCGACTGCCACGAGTTTTCAGGGCTCAAAAGCAAATCGGACACGGGGTCCCCAAGCCCTCCGCTGAGGGTGCCGGTCCCCTCGCTGATCTCCTCTCCCTTCCCCCACAGGGTGCCGGGAAACAGCGTTCATTTTCGCTATCACCTCAGCCGGGGTCACGCATTCAGTGGCGCGCTCCTGCTCCGAGGGCTCCATCGAGTCCTGCACATGCGACTATCGGAGGCGCGGTCCTGGGGGCCCAGATTGGCATTGGGGGGGATGCAGCGACAACATTGACTTCGGCCGCCTCTTTGGTAGAGAGTTTGTGGACTCTGGGGAGAAAGGACGGGACCTGCGCTTCCTCATGAACCTTCACAACAATGAGGCCGGCCGAACGGTGAGCTCTCAAGCAGCAGAGGGAATCTTGGGGTTCCTGCGCAGCGGTTAACCCCGGGCTAAAAGTCGGTGAAAAGACAGAGGGCTAGGACCCGAAAAGGTGTCCTGAGGGAGAGTGTGGCTGGAAGCTTGGAAGGCAACCACGGGATGGAAGAGGCAGTGATTGAGAGCAGAGGAATATCTGGGCTGAGGGCAGGTAAATCAGGAAAGGTTAAAAGTCATAGACCTCTAGAACGTGTGGCTGCAGTCCTAAAGTAAAGATTCCCAAACTAAGGCTGAGAGACACAGGCTGATTCTCTGGAGTAGCGATGGGCATGATCCCCAAATCTCTGCAGAACAGTGCGCTTCCCATCGCCCTGGAGGTTAGGCCTAGACGGTGGCTGAGGTCCCGGCGGCGTCCAGGAGGGGGCGGCATCTGGGGTGGCATCATTGGTCCCGACAGGGCTGGAGACAACCTCTCTTCCCGCTCTCCTCAGACCGTGTTCTCTGAGATGCGCCAGGAGTGCAAGTGCCACGGGATGTCCGGCTCGTGCACTGTGCGCACGTGCTGGATGCGCCTACCCACGCTGCGCGCCGTGGGCGACGTGCTGCGCGACCGCTTCGATGGCGCCTCGCGCGTCCTCTACGGCAACCGCGGCAATAACCGTGCCTCGAGGGCGGAGCTGCTGCGCCTCGAGCCAGAGGACCCCGCGCACAAGCCGCCCTCCCCTCACGACCTCGTCTACTTTGAGAAATCACCCAACTTCTGCACGTACAGCGGACGCCTGGGCACAGCGGGCACGGCGGGACGCGCCTGCAACAGCTCGTCGCCCGCGCTGGACGGCTGTGAGCTGCTCTGCTGTGGCCGGGGTCACCGCACGCGCACGCAGCGCGTCACGGAGCGCTGCAACTGCACCTTCCACTGGTGCTGCCACGTCAGCTGCCGCAACTGTACGCACACGCGCGTCCTTCACGAGTGTCTCTGAGGTGCAGCGCGGACTCGCCCCCCAAGAGAGTGCTCCTCTAGCCTGCCTTCCCCCCGACACACACCCGAAACACACTTGCTGGCATCTTTTATGCGTGCATCGTGTCTCTTTGGCCATATTCCCCTCAGTGCAAATATATCCCCGCTCTTCCACCTCCTCCTATCTAGGAATTCTTCAAACCACTTGCAAGGGGCAGCACGAACTCTTATCCTCCAGAGAAAGACCTGCTCGACCTACCTCCCTCCCTCTCAGCGGGAGACCCTTTGTTGCACTGCCCCCCTGCTTGGCTAGGAGGTGAAATAGTGATTCATTCCCTCCCCCAGCTAGGATCAACTCCTGCCGGTGTTGCTCCACTTCCTCCACCGCATCAGCAACCTCTCGAAGTGTCTCTCCCTTCCTTTAATCTTCCTTTCTTTTGAGCTCCTACATGACCCCTCTCATTTTCCTGCCTAGGGTGCAGACCCTAAATACACACCTGGGCCTCAGGGCCTTTCTCCTCCCCACCTACAGGTGAGGCGGAGGGCTTTGGGAAGGTCCCAGGGTGAAAGGACAGCTGTGATGATGTGGAAAATGAGGTTGAGGGACCAAGCAGAAATTGCCCCTGACCCTCCCTGCCTCAGAAATGGAGCCATTGAACAGCTGTGAGCTATGCCTCCCTCAGCCACCTCCTACCCCTTCCTGACCTGCCTCTTCATCAGCGTGTAAATAATTTGCACTGAAACGTGGATACAAAGCCACTAGTTTGGTTGCTGTAAATAAAACTATTTATTGTGCTGGCTTCCAGCCTGGTTCACAGAGACCACTCCCATCCCAATCCCTCTCCATTTTTGTCCTCCATTTACCCCCTAACCTTTTCTGTTCTCCTCTTTTTTACTCATCTCTCAATGCCTTTGCCTACCGGAATCAGTAGCTATCCACTGTAGCTATTAGTGGCCTTCCACCCCCACCAATGTAGCATTTTCCTCTGCAGAATAAAAACTCTATTTTTATCAATGATTTAGTGGCATTTCCTCGAATCCAGAACATACCATTGTTTGTGGTACCCTTTTCCCTCTCCCAGTCTTCGGGTGTTTACTTCTCAAACAAATGGGAAGTGACAACTAGAGGACTGGTTTTTGCGTCCCAAAAGAGAATCCTGAGAAATTCTGACCTTTGGTTGACCCTAATGAGACTACCGAGGATCCAGATCTCCTGAGAGAAGAGCCTGGTCGGAGGCTAAAACACACTGAATAATTCTTTCTATTCTAAAACAATTGGCTAAGTGTGATATTGACCAAGTGAAGTGCTTAACTGTCTCAATTTCTTCCCTTGAACTGAGGCTGCCTTTGCTACCTGAAAGAGCTATTGTGAAGACAACTATAGTTAAGCATTAGCTAACTTCTTTCTTTGTGGAATAGAAAAAGCTGTGACCACATTCTAAACAGTGGAAGGAGGAACCCATGCAGAAAGGTGCTGCTGCGCCAGGGCAGACTGCCCAATAAGCAGGGTAAGCATAGGTTAATTTACTAATCTGCAGTGAGCAATTCTTGCGTTTACTGGGTACTCCATTGCTGTCAGGGATTGTAAATTGGAGAAAAGGGCTTTGATTCTATAGGAAGGTGCTATGAGTTGGGAGAGACAGACGGCAGCCATATACAGAAGCAAAATCTTTGATGTGATATTGTTCATTACAGATTACCCAGTAAGCACAAGTAAACCTATGCTTCTCTTGTTTACTGGGGAGTCTGACACAGCTGCTACCTATGTTGAGCAGATTGGTCTCTGAAGCCTTTCTGTGCCAGCTGTAGTCAGTGCATCAGGTAGTAGAAAAGACATTCCTCTTCTATAGACAGGAAAACACATCCTCGAGATCCCAGACTCATGGGGATCCAGATAATATATGATAAGATCTAGCCCTGGACCTGAAAGCTTAGAAATGATAGGTTTTTGTTGTTGTTGTTGTTGTTATGTGCCGGTCGAGTCGCTTGCAACTCATAGTGACCCTATGTACAACAGCCCTAAACCCTGCTCTGTCCTATGCCGATCGCACTGTCTCCGACACATCCAGCCCGACTGCCCCAGTCACTGAATCAATCCACTTTAGAGGCTGTCTTCCCCTCCTGTACTGTCCCACCATCCTCCCAAGCATGATGTCCCTCTCCAAGGATGAGTCTCCTTGCAACATGTCCAAAGTATGTCAGAAGAAGCTTCAGAATTCTTGCCTCCAAGGCTTAACGCTCTCCTGGATGAACCTGTTCGTTTCCTTAGCAGTTCATGGTATATTCAATACTCTTCTCCAGCACCACAGCTCAAAGGCATCAATTCTCCTTCTGTCCTCCCTAGTCATTGTCCAGCTCTCTGATGCATAGCAAGTGATTGCAAAGACCAAGGCCTGAATCAGGCACACCCTAGTTTCCAGAGTGACACCATTGCCCTTCAGTACCCTGGATGATAGTAGGAAAGAGAAAAAGGGATAGGGCTTAGAATCCAAATATAGTCCAGGCTTAACCCAAGTGTGGTCTATAACCAATTAAGTTAGCCATTTCTATTAAGAGCATGAAAGAATTCTATTGCCAACAACTACGATACTTCTACGTACACATTCACTAGAGTTGGCTGCAGTCCACAATTCTAAGGCTAACTCTAGCCCTCTTTCTGTCCCTAAGTCTAACCTTAGCCTTAACCCTAACTTCAGGGAAACACTAACCTTTTCCCAAACTATATCTATTCCTAATCGTAACTGCTCCCTGGCCAAGGGAGGACCTCTAAGGGCAGGAGGAGCTGTAAAGCACCCCCCTACCACAGGAAATGACAGGATCCCAGCCAACTTGAGAATCTCTCCCTCTCCCCAGGACTCTTTCTCTGTTGTCTCTGCCTCCCACCTCTCCCTGGATATATGAACTCTGACCTCCATTGGCCTTTGGGACATGAGTGGGGGTAGGGGAGTGGAACCAAGAGTTGTTCAACTTTGCAACAAATCCATTTCCCTTTCCATCCACCAAGCTAGTACCAGTTCTGTGCTGAAAGACAGCCTAGTGAGAGGGTTAAAAGTGTTATTGAATCTAGGTAGAAAGAACCACCAGAAAGACCTTGAGTTTCCAGTAAAGAACACTCTGCAGAAAATGCTCAATGTACAATCCAAAGAACTATTAGCTCCCAGCCCCCAAAGCAAGAAATTAATGGGCTACCAGGGGCAGGAGATGGGGCTTGGGTCCCTATTGGACAATGCTCAGAGTTAGGGAGGAGCACCTTGCCTGATGGATTCGCCTGATCTCATCTAGCACCAAACTTTAAAGACAGGCTAGTGATGGGCATGGTTCAATGGTGATTAATTTTATAAAACATAGTGCATGGGGGGGGGAAACAAAACAAAACAAACCATAATGCATGGGATGGTTGTATGAAACATAATATGAATGAGGAGTGGTGTGAAACGTATATACGAACTTTGTAAGCAAACTAATATAAAATAAAACTTTAAAAAAAAAATTAAAGTATCAGTTTTGAGTCCTAGAGGTCAGAGGTCTCTGGGCTGAGCTGATAGAAGAAGAGCAAAGGAGAGGAAAGAATTGAGCCCTGTCTCTGACTAGGCTCTCAGCAATTCTCTGGCTTTCTCAGCTTCAATTGCTTTGTCGATTAAATAGAGATGGTTATCTCTGGCTATGGCTACTTAGTCTTACCCTTTAGGCAGATGTGGAAGTTGGGAGAAGACAATGTATGTGAAAGTTCAGGTCATTCGACCACTTCCTGACAGCACTTCTGTGTCTGGCACTCTGCCAAATGCTAGGGTTCCAGGGATGTACAAGCCATAGTGCCAGCTGGGAGGAGTTGGTAGTCTGGCCAAATAATCAAATTTGTCAACAGACATTATGAGTATAATGGGAGGAATTTGCTGAAAGCCTGTAAAGTGTAAAGCCAACTGCATGTGCATGAGGTTTAAGGACAGACTCCCACACTCATGTCTGCAGAATGGAGGCCCTTCCTTTTCTTTCAAGGGCTGGAATTTTGAAGGTAAAGAGGCTAGGGTAGGTCAAAAATGGTGCTAGGCCCTCAACAGGACTGCATTAGTAAAATGGGGGAAGTGAGAGGGCTGTTGTCATGTGCTTTCAAGTCGCTTGTGACCCATAGGCACCCTTTGTATAGCAGCTCTGAAACCTGCCCTGTCCTGAGTCAGTCTCACTAATTCTCTAATTCTGACACACCAACCTCATTGCCCCAGTTCCTGTATCAATGCATCTCATCCAGGTCTTCCTCTCCTGTGCTGTCCCTCTACCCTTCTGAACACAATGTCCTTCTCCAAGGACCGGCCTCTCCTGGCAAGATGCCTGAAGTATGTTAGATGGAGCTTCAAAGTCCTAGCCTCCAAGGAGAAACTTGGTTTCACCATCTCCAAGACAGACCTATTTGTTTTCTTGGTGGTCCATGGTACATTTAAAACTCTTGTCCAGCACCACAACTTGAAAGCATCAATTCTTCTTTTGTCATCCTTAGTCATTGTCCAGCTCTCTGATGCATAGCAAGTAATTGACAAGACCACGGCCTAGATTAGGCACACCTTAGTCTCTAGACTGATGACATTGCTTTTCAGCTCTCTGGAGCGGTCCCTGACAGCAGATTTTTCCCAGCACAATTCATCTTTTGATTTCCTGACTGCTGGAGAGGGCTGTAGGATCTGCAAAGTGCTACCTAAGAACCAGTTATTTTGTTATGACTGCCATGCCATTTTCCTATTGGCTGCTGTTATTAGGTGCCACTAAGTCAGCTCCAATTCATAGCATGTTGTTAGGAAGGGCTAGTCCTTGGAAAAGGACATCATACTTCGGAAGGGAGAAGATCAGAAAAGGAAGGGAAGACCCTCAGGGAGATGGATTGACACAGTGATGGCAGCAAAGGTCTCAAGTATGTCAGAGATGGTGAGGACGGCCCAGGATAGGACAGGGACCAGATCCGTTGTTCATAGGATCACTATGAGTCATAGTCGACTCGATGACACGTAGGAACAATGATGTACAACAGAACAAAACACTGCTAGATTATGAAGGT